GTGTATCGTGAGTTTACTATGATTAGACCTATTAGGCCCTGTTCAGCCTTGGTGTTGACATCTATCCTGACCGTAAGTGCACTGCGGGACATACAGGCTTTACCAAGTGACCACTTATTGTCGGATTTTGTGATTGGAGGAAGGGGGCCAGGCGCATTTACTACCTCAATCTCGTGCGTCATGTACAAGCTCATATAAACGTTCTAGGCTACATGGATCGCTAACATGACATCCTTCGATGCTGTTGGACACAGTGGCCCTCGTTCATCACTCCATACGGTCAAATCTGATCATAAAGTGAGAGCACATTGCCAAAACCTACCTGCATACTTAAAATCTCACTGTTTTACAGCTGCAGTGCAAAAAAAGTTATACCTTGGCAAGTGAAGTTATTGTAAACAGAGTCGATATATCTAATATTTCCAATGGTGAGATTGTTATTAGGTAAATGTAAGATTATTAAACTTATTTCTAGACATTTTTTACTTGTTTTAAGTCTTTTAAGCAAACAAAATGATCTATACTGGCTGATCATTTTGCTTGAAATAAGCATAAAAATTAAGCTGCTAAATTACTTAAAGCAAGTAAAAGACGTTTAGTTATTTAAGTGTATAAAACTATATACTTGTATCGCGCTGCTGTCAGAGCAGGGTGTATGTCCAAATCGACAACTTTACAGGAGAAGGAAAAAACTGACTTTACTTTTAATGGAAGTCAATGGAACCAGATTTTTTCATTTTGCATCGTTTATTTTGGTCCATTTATTATGAACTTTACACACAATGTAAAGAACAACAGGCATTTTCAAAATGTCAAAAACTGAAAAACTGGAGAAAAACTGGTTTTGTTCCAACAGCAGCGATAGGTTATACATAGTTTTGTTGTGTAAGACGTTATATCATCTTACAACTGTCTCAAAATTTCAAATATTGACTCAATTTTAGTTCACTTTACTTGACGAAATATCATTTTTTGCAGTGTGTTAAGCACAAGCCCACAGAGCTGATTTCTCAGACTATAGCTTTTTACAAGATTACTTAACTTATTTCTGGACATGTTTTACTTGTTTTAAGTCATTTTATTGAGTTAAATTATCTGTATTGACATTTGTTTGCTTGTTTTAAAAAAATACACTTTAAATAAGCAAAATTATCTGCCAGATTACTTAAAACTAGTAAAAATGTCTGTTTTATAATCTAAGAACATTCCTGCAAAATATGAAATATTAGATCTAATGACTCAATAAAAGATCATTTTACTTAAAAATATACAATTTTTGCACTGTTTTAAGCACAATCTCACAGAGCTGATTTCAGACCATAGCTTATTGCAAGATTATTTAACTTATTTTTAGACATTTTTGCTTGTTTTAAGTTGTTTTATCAAGTACAATCAACTATATTGGTGATCATTTTGCTTGAAATAAGCAAAATTATTTGCCAGATTACTTAAAGCAGGTTAAAGATGTCTATATAAGTGTATATAACTATATGCTTGTACATATTGTAATTATGTAATGTAAATATATGCGTTATATAATGTTGATATTCCTACAGCTGTCGCAAAATTTGCAATATTACATATATTAACTCAGTTTAAGTTTGTTTTACTTGACAAAATATCATTTTTACAGTGTGTTAAGCACAGTTTTACTGTTGGAGCTGATTTCAGACTGTAGCTTATTGCAACATTATTTAACGTATTTCTAGACATTTTTAAATTTATTTTTATGTATTTTTTTAGAAAGTAATTTTATCAAAATTTTCTATATTGCCAGATTTGTTTGCTTGTTTTTACAAATACACTATAAGCAAAATTTTCTGCCAGATTATTTAAAGCAAATAATTAAAAAAAAAAAGTCTATAAAGAGTTTTATAACCCTAAAATGTTCCTGCCACTGTCTCAAAGTTGTTTTCAATATTAAATATATATTGACTCAATTAAAGATAATTTACTTGTCAAGATACCGTATTTCACGGTCTGTTAATGCAGTTTCACTGTCGGAGCTGATTTCAGGTTGTCCTGTGCAGTTTCACTGTCCAGGCTTTGCTCTAGGATTGGGTAGGCATTGCTCTTCCAGCGTTAGTTTTGAAGAGCCCAATGAGCCGCTGCTTACTGCTGTTCATTTATGAGCAAATTGCCCAAGAGGCATTTTAATACTGGGCATAAACAGAGCCTAAGATGTGGTTCAGAGGACTTTGCAGTGCAGTGACTGGACTGTTTATTGCTGAAGTGTGAACCTGTCCTCGGTCCTCAGTCCCCAGTCCGTAAAAGAAGAGTAAACACACATGAGGCCATGCAGAGTCGATCTGGGTTCATTACACTGGCATGAAGATCACGCAGAGAGAAGCATGTCGGAGGCTTTTCCCTTTAATTGTCCTCACGCTGTTTCCCGTGCACCTGCTCTCCGTAGTGGGTTAATTAGTCAGGGAACTGATGACGTGGAGGCCTGTACCGGAGAAATCTGGCATGTTTAGCAGAGAACGGGCTTAGATTAAACAATGTGCTGCACGATTTCAGCAGCATTCGCAGCAGATATACGCAAAGAGTCGTAAAAGCCGTGGCGCAGCGTGAGCTCCCAGTAGCTCCACTCCCAGTTAAAGCTCCAGGGGGAGCTTACAGGCAATGAGCTGTGTGTTTATGGGCCCCAGATGTTACCATTACATCAACATCAATGGGTCAACTCAGGTATTACACACTTGAAATGATGGTTTTTCAGGGGTTCTTTAGTAAAGAAAATGGTTCTGTATCGAGTGTTTGGACTGTAAAACCTCTGTTTGGAGGGTCATGTAGCCCTAACACTTCACCCTACCCCTCGATCTCAACAAGAATCGGGACACCGAAACCCTAGACGTCAACGCATAAAACGGAGGGGTAGGGCTAAGTGGTAGGGGCGAGGGGTGAAATGGGACTGGGCCTTAATGTTGTATAACAATTTACTTCAGCCTCACCAGTTATTTCATTCTTACAGTGTCTTTATTGGAGTAGTTGCTAGAACCTGTTTGCATTTCAGAGTAGCTTGGCTAGACTGTCCCGGTAGTTATCATACACTATATTGCCAAAAGTATTTGCTCTTCTGCCTTCACACACATATGAACTTGAGTGACATCCCATTCTTAATCCATAGGGTTTAATATGAACAACCAAAGGTGTTCTATCGGGTTGAGGTCAGGACTCTGTGCAGGCCAGTCAAGTTCTTCCACACCAAACTCGCTCATCCATGTCTTTATGGAGCTGCTTTGTGCACTGGTGCTCAGTCATGTTGGAACAGGAAGGGGCCAAACTCCCCAAACTGTTCCCACAAAGTTGGGAGCATGAAATTGTCCAAAATCTCTTGGTACTGAAGCATTAAGAGTTCCTTTCACTGGAACTAAGGGGCCGAGCCCACCTCCTGAAAAACAGCCCCCCACCAAAATCCCCCCTCCACCAAACTTTACACACGGCACAATGCCGTCAGAGAAGTACCGTCTCCTGGTAACCGCCAAACCCAGACTCGTCCATCGGATTGCCAGACGGAGAAGCGTGATTGGTCACTCCAGAGAACACGTCTCCACTGCTCTAGAGTCCAGTGGCGGCGCTTTACACCACTGCATTCCACGCTTTGCACCGCGCTTGGTGATGTAAGGCTTAGATGCAGCTGCTCAGCCATGGAAACCCATTCCATGAAGCTCTCTATGCTGTTCTTGAGCTGATCTGAAGGCCACATGAAGTTTGGAGGTCTGTGGCGATTGACCCTGCAGAAAGTTGGCGACCTCTGCGCACTATGCGCCTCAGCATCCGCTGACCCCGCTCTGTCATTTTACGTGGCCGACCACTTCGTGGCTGAGTTGCTGTCGTTCCCAATCGCTTCCACTTTGTTATGATACCACTGACAGTTGACTGTGGAATATTTAGTAGTGAGGAAATTTCACGACTGGACTTGTTGCACAGGTGGCATCCTATCAGTGTACCACGCTGGAGTTCACTGAGCTCCTGAGAGTGACCCGTTCTTTCACTAATGTCTGTAGAAGCAGTCTGCAGGCCGAGGTGCTCGGTTTTATACACCTGTGGCCATGGAAGTGATTGGAACACCTGAATTCAATGATGTGGATGGGAGAGGGAATACTTTTGGCAATACAGTGTAATTTTACTCAATATAGTTACACATTACTGTAGAAAGGTAACACGGTTAATACCTAGAACTTGCTGAGCCAAAACAATCATCTAGTACTTTGTAGTTTGTACCACACACTTACTAGGTCAATAGCTAGAACTTAAAGTAATGTAAAAGAACGTGTTACCAGTGACTGGAAAGAAGAAATCTTGCAAAATAAAACAGAGAACAACTGAAAATGGAAGAGGAAGACGAAACAAGGAACCAGCATAGAACACCACCAGGAAAATGATATAAACATTGATGTTCTAAGTGTAAATAAGTGAACATGTCCTCTACAGAGACACCCTTCCCCACATTTTAATACACAATTACTGTTTATTTGCTGAATTTAGCATATTAACTCACCAACAATAAAACATTGTTTGATGTAGTTTTGCATACGACTGTGTGTACAATTGTGAGAGCCTGTAAATTGGCTGATTTTCCTAATATAAGCTAACACTGAACTGGAGCGAATGGGTCAGCTTAGATAGCCAGTAAACCCAGTGAAGTCTTGGGGACTGGACCTTCTTTCTGTACAGCAAACATAAACTCAGAGTACTCAAGCAGTTTTCCAGTGACTTATTTACTTTGTATGGACCTGTTTACTTGTACTGAAGTGAATCAGCACTGCAGTATCAGTGCTCTTAACTAAGGGGGGTATTTTTAACACCCAGTCCATCCTTTAATGCCCCAAAGGACACGGTGGGAGTGGCCGGACCCGGCGGAACGAGGGACGCTATGGTGGCTGGTGGCCGTTTCCATTAGGAGAGGATTTGCCGCGGGGCCTTTGTTAGCATTGATCCGGCCTCTTTCAGGAGGTAGCCGGGCTCACTGATCCGTGACCATCTCATCTATCTTGCAGGGTTCGAGGGACCTCGCTGTGAAATTGACACCAATGAGTGTGGCTCCAGTCCGTGCCAGAACCAGGGCCATTGTGTGGATGGGGTCAACAGTTACTAGTAAGGACTGGATGCAATCTTTTCCTATTTATATATTTATTTCTTGTCACATTTAATCTATATAGAAGATTTGATTTCTCTTTGTATATATACAAAACCTCGAATCTCCAAAATGACAACTTCACAGGAGAAGGAAAAAACATACTGTAGTTTTAATGTAAGTCAATGGAACCAGACTCTTTTCCAAGTCATTTAGAAATGACACTTCAAAGTCGTTTCTTAGTAACGGCATATTACCGGATATATTTATTTCGTTATTTATAGTTAATTGTATAGTTATATATATATATCTTTTTATTCATTTTTTAAACACCTATGGTCAGTTGCCTGCCCACTTTATTTAGATTTAGAGGGCAAAATTACACACCCGGGCAGCTCTGTCTTTCCCCCCGAGGTAGGCAGGGCATGACACGACAGTGACTTGAAAGCGCAGATCTAAAAAAAGGTGCCTGCCTGTCACGAGCCAGTAAAAGGAAAAGTGAGTGGATGGACTCCTAGGAGACCCATTGATCTGTAGCCGTGCCAGTATTGCAGGGTGAAAATAATGACCATGTGGAGCGGCTCCTCCTTTCCTCACTTCATTGGCCATGGGAACAGCATCGCACAAGAAACAGCAGCGTCTTTGATATTGACCTAGTGCTCAGTCCAACTTGCATGCAAGAAGTGCTGCTGGATGTGCTGCAGTGATGTCGGCACACGGCCGAAAATGCCCTCGTACTGAGGGTGGGCAGGCGTGGTACATTATAGCTGCCACAATATTACGTTTTACTGCTGCTGGTGAAGTTGGAACAGACAAAATGCACCAGCAAATCAGTGGCGCCACGTTAAAAAAAGACAATGTAAACATACCATGATTTTTCAACATTTTCAAAAATAAAATATTTAAGATGTTAATCCACAGAATAAATGATACACTTTTACATTATGATGTCCACGCCTCTGTGCAGTAAATGAGTGTAATCTAGGGTAAACTGATCAACGATCCATTTAAGGTGGAACAGGACATTTAACTAGCTGGCTACTGAAACATCAGCACACTACTAGTGACTTTGTTTGTTATGAGGAAAAGGGCCATAATACACTGAAATGACACTAAACTAAGATCATATGATGGTTACGGTTATCGGAATTTTTAACAGAGAAAATCTCACATTTGTGTGTTTCTTTGGTCGCAAAACGAGAGATTAGGGCTAAGTGGTAGGGGTGTTGGGTGAAATGGTATTTAGTGTATTGTAGTTAGTTTTGAGTTTGTTGTATGTTTGTTATGTAGAAACATAGTGTGGGGAAAAAGGCGTTCTTCAGCGGTTCCTGAGTAAAGGCAGGGGTTTTATATACATTGAGCAATATAAATGGTATTTGTGGTTAAACAGCAGCCTGAAAACTTCAAAACAATGCTGTACTCTCAGTATAATATTGTGTATAGCGTCACTTGCTAGCTGATATCTTCCAGCAAAGGGAGGCATCAGTGCTAATGATGCTGTCTTTATCTTCTGTTTGAAGCTGCTACTGCAAACCTGGCTTTTCTGGCCAGCACTGTGAGGAAGACATCAACGAGTGTGTCTCCAACCCCTGCCAAAACCAAGGCCTCTGCCAGGACCTCGTGAACAGGTAAGCACAACAGCTAGCTCAGGCTAGCGTTCCCTCCTCTGAACTGAACTGAGCCTAAATCGAGTATGACACTGTGGCCCGATTGCTGTCTTCTAGCTATTTGTTTTTAGCAAGCAGAGGAGGCAGAGGAAGAAGGAAAAAAACCCAGGAGTTTGAAACGAGCCCCCACGAGGAGGTGGTGGGTGTTATTCTCCACGGCGCTCCAGCCTGCGGTAAAAAGGCCTTTTCTCTTCCTCCTTGACACATATACGCTGCCTCGCTAAAGACAGAGCGGGCTGGATTCAGCGGGAAGATATCATGGCCGTAGATTGGCCTCCTCCGCCGGAGCTTCTCCTCACAAGGCTTAATAAGCACCCCGGGGCCTCGCGCCGCTCCGTCCGACAGATGGGCCGAGAAGTCCCAGGGCCAATTTAAGTCCTAAATGGTTTGTCTTCGCTTCGTCTCCTGTCGTCAGAGAGGCTCCCACGTGACCGGCAGCTCCTAACGTCCCGTCCCGGCCCCTTCTTCCCCAAATCGCTCGGTCCAAGGGAGTTCACGTCAGGTGGAGTTCACGTCTCCCCTCCCTTTCCCTCCGTCTCCGGTCTTCTTCGATAAAAACCAGGCAAGAACATACTTAACCTTCCTGGCTCCACCATGGCTTATAGGGGGTTCCTCTGGGGTTCTTTACTAAAGGCACGGCAAAGAACATATGTATGTGGGCGTGTGAGGGCTTCTTGACAGCTACACATCCTTTCAGACCCACAGCGCTGAGTCGTCTTCTCACAGTGGAAGGATGGACAGAAACACCTGTGGATGTTTTCAGATCTGATCAGCTTGATTTTCTCCTCTCTCTCAGAGATGAAAGCTTTAAGTGCTGTTTATCTGATGGGGGCAGTTTTGGGGTCGACCAGCTCCTCCAAGTGGTTGTTAGGAGTCACGTTTTCTCGATAACCTTTAATCAGTTTCTCCAGTTTTGCCTGATTCAAGTGGATGATCTTGTATTTAATCTCAAAAATATCTCATTTAGACATGTTGCAAGTATCTCCTGAAAATTAGTGATGTACTTAGTAGCTGTTTCAATGGGGTTCTGTTTTAGTGCTGTTATTAACGCATTTCAGAATCAGAATCAAGCTTTATTGGCCAGGTTTGCTTACACATACAAGGAATTTGGTTTTGGTTACAGGAGCTCACAGTGCACAGTACCAGACAGACATGTACATGTAGTGAATAAAATGAAATAAAATAAATATACAAATAAAATACAATAAAATAAAATGAAATAAAATACAAAAAAATAAAATAAAACATGCATTCCTACCATCACTCACTCACACACACACAAACAGTCATACCTGTAACCTCTACATTGTGCAAAGTATATACCAGTGTTATTAACGCCACAATTTTTTAAAACGCTGTTAGTGTATTTTCCCAGTTTGACCCTTTAAACTATAAGTGGTGGTCCAAGCTGAAGCCCAGCCGCTCACACACTATATGCTGCTTTGATGGACTCTCTTGTAACACTCTCATTCACATACAGCTTTTTAATGGCTTTTAAAGTGATACCATCAAAACCTTCTGCAGACTATGCTTAAGGGGGAACTATGGAGATATAGAAGAGCAGCAAACTCACAAAAGCAACAGCAAAGCGGAAAGAAGCTCCAGTTCCCCTCAGGAGCCTCCACTGTAATAGGAATCCATGAGCGAGAGAGAGAGAGAAAGAGAGAGAGAGAGAGACGCCACTAATTGTGTGCATGTCGCTGTTGTTGGAACAAAACCTTGTATCTCCAAATTGGAGAAGGAAAAAAAAATCTACTTTTCTTTTAATGTAAGTCAGTGGAACCAGACTTTTTACAAGTAATTCTGGGTCGTTTCTTTTGGTCCATTCAGTGTGAAATTTACACACAATATAAAGGAAAGTAGGCATTTTCAAATTATGTTAAAAACGGAAAAACATCAAAAATGGAGATACAAGGTTTTGGTGTATGTATGTGTGTATATATATATATATATATATATATACACATACACACACTATATTGCCAAAAGTATTCACTCGTCTGCCTTCACACGCATATGAACTTGAGTGAGATCCCATTCTTAATCCATAGGGTTTAATATGATGTCGGCCCACCCTTTGCAGCTATCACAGCTTCAACTCTTCTGGGAAGGGTTTCCACAAGGATTAGGAGTGTTTATGGGAATTTCTGACCATTCTTCCAGAAGCGCATTTGTGAGGTCAGACACTGACGTTGGACGAGAAGGCCTGGCTCGCAGTCTCCACTCTAATTCATCCCAAAGGTGTTCTATCCGGTTGAGGTCAGGACTCTGTGCAGGCCAGTCAAGTTCTTCCACACCAAACTCGCTCATCCATGTCTTTATGGACCTTGCTTTGTGCACTGGTGCTCAGTCATGTTGGAACATGGATCATGTAAGGCTTGGATGCAGCTGCTCGGCCATGGAAACCCATTCCATGAAGCTCTCTATGCTGTTCTTGAGCTGATCTGAAGACCACATGAAGTTTGGAGGTCTGTAGCGATTGACTCTGAAGAAAGTTGGTGACCTCTGCACACTATACGCCTCAGCATCTGCTGACCCCGCTCTGTCATTTTACATGGCCTACCACTTGATCTATACGTATATATATATATATATATATATATATATATATATATATATATATATATATATATATATATATACATATATGTACACACCCATTGGTTGGAACATGCAGCCGCTGCTGTTCTCACTGGAACGAACAAGCTGTGTTCACTCTGAACATCGTGTAATTTTTATGTTCAGATTCTCGCATTTACACAAAAAATAATGTTACTGAATATTAAAAATGATATATATTTTGTCCACTAACAACTAAAACACTATGTTATAATAAATTATTATTACTCAGGTTATTAGGCAGTCTGCATGAAATAATGCTAATGTCACAGTAAACGTAGAATCAAAATGAAAAGCTCACATATTAATTTGGACCAAGCAAAGTTAACCCAAGAACCTAAAAGTTCTATGGAGAAACTACTATAGATATATAGTAGTGTAAAGAACCTTTTTTAAGGCCTTCTGTGTAGCACCCAATAGGGTCCTGCTTACTGACTCGAGCGATTCTGTGGAAACTGAAGATACTAAACTAAATCAACACCGTTTGTTTTCATATAGAGGAGATGTTTTATCATGATTTGAATTAGATGCAGAGTTATTGTTGTCTTGTTTTGCAGAAACACATTCTGGTTGTTACGTGACTCGAATGTGAATTCAATTTATTATGCAAATAACGGTTATTAATAATGTAACTGCATAGTTATACTGAAGTACTATAGCAAAACAGCCGTAATAACTGAAGACCCGGCAGTTCTGAAAGATGAAGGTCTTTGCTCAGTTCTGTGTGTGTGCTGAGATGCTCATTAGGCCTTTGCCTCAGCTGCTTTTTTCGCTTTCCTAAACTCTGAAATCTCTGGACGCCTCAGCAGCTAGAGGGGTCAGAACGGCGGTGTGAGGGCCAAGTGAGGGCAACCGACAACCGGCATCTGTTGCTTTTTCGTCAGTTGGTTATTTATTTATTTTGTGCCGCGATTAACTGCACAAAAAGACGGAGAGGCGAACACATAAAAGATGCAGCAGCACTTTGATCAAGTATGCACTTTGGAGCGCAGAGTGTGCAGGCAGTGGCGGCGGTGGTATTGCCCGTAGCTCGTGCCGGATAAGTTGTGTGCCGTAGACGGCCGTTTTCATACGTTTCTGTTTGAACTGCCCGGTGCTGTTGGTTTAACCTCGCTGGCGTGAGAGCGTAAGGAGTTTGTTTTAGCTCTGAGCTCAAATACGTTCTGCTAAAATTTCTCTGTTTATTTATCTTTTTATCTCTAGCTTCCGATGCTCCTGCCCGCCTGGATACTTCGGGGCTTTGTGTGATCTGGACGTGAACGAGTGTGAGGTGTCACCCTGCCTCCACGATGGCGTGTGCATCAACAAGCCCGGGGGCTTCGCGTGTGTGTGCCGGCCCGGCTTCTCCGGTATGTCCCACCCAACACACACACACAAAACAAAAAACATGATTTAGAAAGCCTGAAGTAATGGATTCATTTCATATATGTGTGTGTGTGTGTGTATATATATATATATATATATATATATATATATATATATCTATATATATATATATATAGCAAATACAGCTTCTCACTTTTACGGATCCATATATGAGTATAGTATGTGGCTTTTAATCAGAAAATATACATACATACATACATCATCTAAACCGCTTATCCTTCTGGGTCGCGGTGGGGTGCTGGAGCCTATCCCAGCTGTCATTGGGCGGAAGGCAGGATACACCCTGGACAGGTCACCAGTCCATCCCAGGGGATCAGAAAATATAATTCACACTAATTGCCTTTTAAGCCACACCCACACTTGATTTAAGCCACACCCATGCCTGGTGTAAGCCACACCCACTCTATTATTTTGGACAATCTAAATGTTACTTTATTTGGAATATTTCCGATGTTATTTTATTCTTAAATAAAATAAACATTTATGTTTAGCATCTTTCAGTCCATTGCATTTTAAGCCAAACCCCCTTACTGTTTAAGCCCCACCCCTATTTTTAAACACTCTGAATATTTCAGTCACACAATTTCCAGTTATTTTTGAAATGGGTACATTTTAATCAGTAAATGTAGCAAATTTAACATGTCGCACACATTGTCTTTTTAAGCCACACTCACTTCCGGTTTAAGCCACACTCGCCCAGTTTGTTTGTTTGTTTGTTTATTTAGTTAATAGACAACCACAATTTTTATTATCCCACAATATTGTCAGTATTCGTATTTGCTGCTCTTTTTTTAAATATGACTTTTCAGGACAATCTGAATTTTTTTATTCTCGCCCGATATTTTTCAGTACTGTTTGTATTTGTTTTTAGTTTTTAGTTTTTTTATTTTTCTTCCTAAACATACGGCTTTCAGTTCATAAATACAGCAAATATAGCATGCATTTTAAGCCACACCCACTTCTGGTTTAAGCCCTACCCCTATTTTTGAACACTTCAAATGTTTGTCGCAATATTTCCAGTAATTTTATAAAGATATGAGTTTTAATCTGTAATTTTGGCAAATCTAACATGTCGCACACGTTGCCTTATTAAGCCCCCCTCGTCTGGTTTATTTGTTAGTTATTAATTTGTCTTTACATTATTATTTATTCATTGCCTTTTTAAGCCACACCCATTCTGTTTTTATCTGAATGCAAATAGAAACAATTTTATCTGTTGAACAAATACAAATAGCTGTGTCTCCAGACACCCCTAATACACACACACACACACACACACACAGAATCAATGGCTGAGGCTGTGGTTTATCCCGTCTACAGAGACTGTGCTTCTCACCTCCCTGACAGATGCCTAATGGAAAGAACATACAAACAGCACATGTTTAAGCACCTCAATTAGGCCCCCCGACTCCCACACACGTCTGCAGGGCACACAAACACACACACACACACAAACACACACACACTTCGGGTGAGTAAACTCAATACTAGGGCTGATCATGAGCTGACGATTAATTGTTGCATCAATAATTGCAAATAACGATTTAATTGTCTTTTCTTGTTTGTTCTGTTTATCTACTAAAGCAGAGGTCACTAATAGGCGGGCCGCGGTCCGAGTCCGGACCTAGACGCCGTCCTATGCGGACCTGGACCTATAGCGATCAAACTATGGAGAATTATTTAATTTCGACAGGGTGGTCCTGTTTTAATCAGCGTAACTTTTCTAGTCATTATGGTGCCGGTTTAGCGGCCGGAGACTCACTTTCAGTTGTTGACTGTATAAGATGTTGATATACCTACTAGGCTACTTCGGTAAACAGTATATGGCACTGAATCATGATGCAAGTTAGACATTATGATGTTCTGGACCTTTGATTGAAGAACGTTTCTCTAACTGGACCTTATTAAACTTTAATTAAAGACCCCTGATCTAAAGCATAAGACTAAGGCAGCCAGACTGGTTTATTAACCGTCTTGCTTCCTGTGTTTACTATGCAGCTAACACAGTTAGTACTGTCGAATGTGTTGACCGCACTGCGGGGCTCAGCACACACTCTCACCAGCTGCCCTTTACCACACATACTTAAAAGTGATGGTTCTTCAAGGGTTCTTTAGTAAAGAAAATGGTTTTCTATAGAACCATAAACACTCAAAGAACCCTGTCCATGATTAAATGGTTGCTTGCCTGGTGAAATAGTGGAGAATGTGCTGTAAAAGGTTCTATATAGCACCAAAAAGGGTTCTTCTATTGTTCCGATGTCAGGCTTGTTACAATAGAAGAATGCTTTTTGGTGCTATATAGAACCTTTTACAGCACATTCTCCACTATTTCACCAGGCAAGCAACCATTTAATCATGGACAGGGTTCTTTGAGTGTTCATGGTTCTAGGACAATTTTCTTTACTAAAGAACCCTTGAAGAACCTTCATCAGATGTGCATACTAAAGGTTTGTGCTTAATGAACCAATAGAAAAGCTCCACGAAATGTAGTTCCATTAACTCAAAGTTAAGAATGTTTTTCGAATGATCTACATAGCTAACAAATAAAGAAACATTACTCAGTGCTGCCCTCTAGAGCGCCAAGTTAGAAGTCTTCATAAGCCCCATGATGGCTCAATGTATGTGTGCACTATTTTCATTTATTTGCTTTGTTGCTTCTGTTTGTTGCTGCATAATATTGTTATGAAATCTAATGTGGAAAATTATAGTTATTATTATAGTACAGCAGTCGTTACTAAGAGTCGCAAGTAAGCGATGATGTAATAACAGTGTCAGGCCTACTCGACACCGCCTCTTTATCCACTGCATCCTGTTAGCCGGTTTCCTTCCTTTCACTCCTCCATCGCTGTGCCTTTTACTTACTCATTTACTTTTCCAGCCAGAGACGGATATCGACGCTTTCCACAGTCAAGACCACCTGATCTCCCCCGCTGTCAGCCCGAGCCCAAGATTAATTTCATTTGTCTTCCGCACTGCATCATCAATTTATCCTTTTCCAGGCGGAGAAGAGGGAGGAGATGCGCAAGAAGAGGGAAGGAAAAGCTCTCGGAGGTATAGGCGCTCCTGAGAGAGGCTCCGCCTGACACGCGAGCCCCAATTCCCCGAGAAGCGGCTTTTATTATTAGGCCTCTGTTCAGGCTCGTACAAGTCATTACTTTCTCCCCTCGCTCTCGGCTCTTCTGAGGAAAGAGAGACGTGTCCCCGGAGAGGCCGGCCGGAGGATATATTTTGGATTGGCTCGCCCGACCGGAGCTTCACGGGAAATATTTGCCCTAATAAGACATGCAACGCTGAAGAAAAAAGGAAAAAAGAGAATAAAGAAAGTCAAGTGACAAACCTCAATATTCCACGGCCCCTCGTGCCGATCGGGTCACTCTCGGACGCGGATCTCTTTTCAGTAGTGCTTGATTTTGATGGACCGCTGGAGATGCTCTGTAGATGCTCGCCTCGTCTTTAACCTACATTTATAGTTATATTTAACCCAATTTCTATTGAATTCGAGGAGGTTCACATCATACAGTTCCTTTTGATTAGTATGGGAACCTTTTAAGCATTTTACATCATATTCTCATTATTCTTTAGTCAGTATAGTTCAGACTTTTTAATTACTTGTTCTTATGATGTCATAAAAACCAACACATTTCCAGAAAGTGTTGCGTAGACGTTTTTGGGGACCTAATTAGATCTGAGCAGTAAGTGTGTTTGGATTGTCAAATACTATATAACAATAAAATAAGTATAAATAAATTTGTGCTCAAAAAGTCATTGATATCCTCTGAGCTAGTTGGAGGAACAGAAGTTTGATTCTAGATTCCTCCTTAAAGCTTCAGCCATCGCAGCAGCATTGATTTACTACAGTGAAGCATTAATTATCCCAGTCAGATATTAGATTATAACTACAATAATACTGGGATTCCATAAGGAGAAATTTGGAGATACTTAAACTAAACGTTGACACACATGAAATTGCTACTTACTGTATTAATATTATTTGTATTTGTAGTTTCGTTTTAAATTTTAACTAAATAAAACACACATAACATGCATAATAATTATTCATGTAATGTCTTACGTAATGTTGTGAACCAGAGCTAGGAGAAAATATTGTATATGACTTTTTTCCAAGTTTATATTTGAACTTCATAGCATATACACTCATTTAACACGTTGTGTCAGTAAAATATCTTCGAGACTGGACGCTGTATCTCGGCTCAAAGTGTGCAACATAATGCGAAAGCCCTGCTTCTCAACGACTGAGAACCGGCGTGCAGACTGCAGGTCACATAGCGACGCAGTCTCGTCTGGCTAGTATCTAACGAAAAGACAAAGAGAGATTTAAGACGAAGACTGGAGACGAATGGACTGATTTGGGTTTATAAGTGCTGCAGTTGGTTTCCTGGTATGGTAGGACAAGAAACTGGAGAATAAGAAGCGACTTCAGCCTCGTAAATCAGTCGAATGCTGAGACATTTTACAATAAGCTGCTCTGCTTTTGAGGAAGAGTTTTCTAGTGGAGATGAGAGGAAAGCGGCTAAAGCTAAAGCTTAAAGCAGAGCGAAGTGAATCTGCGTTTTCGTTTATATTGTTTAGTCTAAACTAGCACATTATCACATTCTCAGACATACTGGACATTAAATGTTGTGGCTGCCAAGCTGGTTTGATTTTTTGTTGAAAGGTCAAAATGGCTCTTCTTATCATTTGGGTTGTGACTCCTGACCTAACCTGGCTTTAATGCAGAGGGAGCTGGTCGGATTTCTCACTCATCCAGTTGTGTTTTTGTTATGTGCCACCACAGACTGTCCGGGCGCTGCACTTCCGCACTTCCAGTTCAGCCTTTTGCGTTCCGTCAACATCACGTTATAAATTAAATATTTAGAAAATCGATTTTTGACATTTGTGAATCGATTCAGAATCGTTCACGTCCGCATGCATCTAAGAATCGATTTTTCCCCACACCCCTAAT